CTTTCCTTTTCCTTTTTCCTTTCCTTCTCCTTCCTTCCTTCCTTCCCTCCTTCCTTCTTTCTAACGAATGCTAATGCATCTGTTAAGAGTTGCAGGAAGTTTATGTCTGGGTCATGAAAATGTTTACTGTTTTAAGTTAATGAAGTAAAATGCTAATCATTACTAGATTTTTGTAGACCTTAAAATGTAACATTAGTATTAAGATATTCATTAAAATGTCCAAATTACTATGAAATTTAGTAAGTTTTTAATTTCTGAAGCAAAGCATGAGTATATAAAATAAATAGACATCATTTTAGGCTAGAGTTTTTGGGTTATTAACTCACTAAACCTTTGACCAAGATGGCAAACATTTAATTGCATTGTTGAACTCAGCGCCTTCTGACATTGTGGGATGTCACTCATTAGAGGATCATGAAATCAACTTAGTGAATAAAGAGTCACGACAAACAAAATGAAAGAACAGACTAGAACAGAACATGTATGATTGCATCACAGGTGTGGGATTTTTTAATGGGATGAACTTGTTCTAAAATTAGATGTAGTGATGATTGCACAGTTCCGTGAATATATTAAAAAACACTGAATTCTGTACTTTAAATGGGTGAATTTTATAGCATATGAAATATGCCTCAGTAAAAGTGTTAAAAAAAGGGGAAAAAAAGTAAGTACTGTTTCCAGATTTTTTCCCCCCAACATGTATGTGTGTAATATGTTGTTTGTTAAATGTCTTTTGGAATTTGGGACGTGGTCGGAAAAGTTTGAAAGATGTTCTTCTAATCCCACTAGCAAATGGAAACTTAAAGGATTGCAGTTGAAAGAATTGATAGAAAGGTATACTTATATACCAGGCACTTGAATGTCACGACGTAGTTGAAATGTATCAGCAAAAGCAGGAGGAAGGCTACACTGACTGGGATGGTACATGTCTCTACAGCGAGAATCCTGCGAGGTCGGCTGCAGCAGTGCTAAAGGTGCATTTGAGGAAGAAGTGCTAGGTAAGCGGTCATATGCAATGATTATTCAAAATACTGGATACCACTCTAGGGACATATGTAAGGAGAATGGGCCATCTCTTCAAATATTTAGACTTCTACATCTCAGCCTTAGAAAAAATTATAAATAATATGATATGATATGATATGATATGATGTGATTTCAAATGTGGAAGCCATTGTGATAGAAACTCAGGAAGACTCTTCTTCTAGGGGAAAATAGGGGGAACACAGCACCTGACTGAGGTTTAGGATTTGAGGTTCTGCCCTCAGTTCGGTAAGTGAAATCACTTCCATCCTAATGAAAGAAACGACTATGGATCCTAAGCAGATTGATGTCAGGAAATGCCACTATTTTAATGAACCCAAAACACAAGAATATTTTATTTAATGTGCATTTAATTGTTCGGCTACCAGGTAGTCAATAGAGTAGCTACAACATGCATAGATCCCTACAAAGCTCCGGGAAATTCACTGAACGTATAGAAGCTACACTTCTCGCTTTTAGATTTTGAGTAAGTAGGGTACTAAGCTGTATGTGTCCAGCTCCCTCTGTCTGATTTCAGAGCAGGTTGGGTGTGTCTAAATGGCTTTGTCCTAGTGTGTTAATTCTCTAGTCGTTTCTGAAGGACCAACTCTTTGATAAGTCACAACCTCGGTGTTACTAGTTTTCTCTTCCAGAATTTCCAGGATCTTCCTCCCAGTAAGAGATAGATAGCTCTTTTCAGACAGGGAAATGATTGATTATTCCATAAATTGTAGTCTTTGTTTCAAAGGCTTGCTCCTTGCTCTTGGTGGCCAGTAGAAATTGGGAGGGTCTTGCCTTGCTGTCCTGATTTGCTTCTGTCCTTTAGACAGAAGCACGTTGACATTTCTGTGCAGAGATATATCACTATGTTACATTCTTTTCCTACTGTGCAGTGGGAGTTAGATATGGATAAAATTTGTGTTCTGTGGCTTCCAAACTGTGTACCGAGTTACCCCAGTGCATTTTATCTACCTCATAGGAAGGCATGGGTCATTTTGAACATTCAAGGGAAACATAGGATAGTTGACATTTTCTGGACATCCTTGGAACTACCAGTTGGAGGTAGTTTATGGTATAAACAATGAAATGCAGTACATTCCTTTCTATAGCAATCTTTGCAATGCTGAGTTTTCTTTTCTTTTTTTTTTTAAGATTTTATTTATGTGACAGAGAGAGATCACAAGTAGGCAGAGAGGCAGGCAGAGAGGGTGGGGGAAGCAGGCTCCCCGCTGAGCAGAGAACCTGATGTGGGGCTGGATCCCAGGACCCTGCGATCATGACCTGAGCCAAAGGCAGAGGCTTAACCCACTGAGCCACCCAGGCGCCCCAATGTTGAGTTTTCTGAAGATTGCTGTGATAAAAAGCAAAGACCATAAAAAACTCAGTCTGGAACAGGAAATGTTGATGATGGTGCCCAGTCTGATTATAATATTGAGAAATTGTGCCGTCCCCAATAGGAGGAAAATCAGTTACATTTCTGTTTGCTAATAATGAACAGTCTGTAAAGGAAATTAACAAAGCAATTCCATTTACAATAACATCAATAAACATAAAATATTTAGGAACTAACTTAACCAAGCAGGTGATAAACTTATAAAATAAAAATTATAAAACATTTCTGAAACAAATTAAAGAAGACATAAATAGACATCCCATATTCATGGATTGAAAGAAAATACAGTTAATATGTCAATGCTTAAAGCAAAGCAACCTACAGACTTAATGTAATCCCTATCAAAATCCCAGTATCTTTTGCAGAAATAGATCCTTTTGAAAATTCATATAGAATCTCCAAAGACCCCCAAATCTTAAAAAGAAGAACAAGGTGGGGGCACCTGGGTGGCTCAGTCATTAAGCAGTTGCCTTCAGCTCAGGTCATGATCCCAGGGTCCTGGGATCGAGCCCTGAATCGGGCTCTCTGCTCAGCGGGGAGCCTGCTTCTTCCTCTCCCATTCCTCCTGCTTGTGTTTCCAGTCTTGCTGTGTCTCTCTCTGTCAAATAAATAAATAAATAAAATCTTAAAAAAAAAAAAAGAAGAAGAAGAACAAAGCTGCATTACCCACGCTTCCTGATTTTAAATGTATCGCAGTAATAGAGATAGACATTTAGACAAATGGACTAGAACAAAGACCAGAAATGAATCCTGTATAGATGGTCAAATGACTTCTGACAATGGTGCCAAGACTTTTCAATGGGGAAAAGACAATTTTTTCAAGAAATGGTGCTGGAAAAACTGGAGATCCATGTGCGAAAGAATGAAGTTGGACCTTATAGAATATCATATGAAAAAATTAACTCAAAATGGATTAATGACTTAAATACAAGACCTAAAACTATAAAACTCCTAGAAGAAAAAATAGAGCAAAAGCTTTTCAACGTTGGATTTTTCAATGACTTCTTGGACATGACACCAAAGGCACAGGCAATGAAAGATGAAATGGACTGGACTTCATGAAATTTAAAAAATATATACATCATCAGACACTACCAACAGAGCAAAAAGGCAACAATGGAATGGAAAAAATATTTGCAAATCATATATCTGATAAGGGGTTAATATCCAGAATATATAGAAACTCCTAAAATTGAACAACCAAGCAAACCAAACAATCCAATTAAAAAATGGGCAAAGGATCTGAATAATTTCTCCAAAGAATATATATGAATGGTCAATAAGCACATGAAATGATATTTAACATCACTAAATGATTAGGGAAATCCAAATCCAAACTAGAACTAAATACCACCTCACATTCATTAGACTTGTTACCCTTAAAAAAAAAACCCAGAAAAATAAAAGTTTAGATGAGGATGTGAAGCAGTTGGAATCCTTGCCCACCATTAGTGGGAATGTAAAATTATACAGCCTCTGTGGTAAACAGCATGGCGGTTGTTCAAAAAATTAAAGACAGAATTACCATAGAATCTTGCAATTCCACCTGTATGTACATACTCAAAGTGGGATCTTGAAATGATATTTATACACTGATATACACCTCTCGTTGAATTCACAATAGCTAACACATGAAAGCAATCCAAGGGTCCATTGACAGATGAATGGATAAGGAAAATTTGATGTATACATACATACAATGGAATGTTCTTCAACCTTAAAAAGAAAGAAAATTGACACCTGCTACCACGTGGATGAACCTTGAGGATATTATGTTAAGTGAAATCAGCCTGTCACAAAAAGACAAATATTGTTTGATGCCCGTACATGATGTATTAGAGTAGTCAAAGTCATAGAGACAGAAAGTAGAATGGTATTTGCCAGGGATTACAAGGAGGCAGAATGGGGAGTTAATGTTTAATGAAGAGTTTCAGTTTTGCAAGATGAAAAGCGTTCTGGATATGAATGGTGGTGACCATTGCACAACAATGTAAATGTACTCAGAACCATGAACATACTTAAAAATGGTTAAGATAGTAAATTTTATGTCATGTGTATTTTACCACAATTAAAAACTGGGGGGGAAAGCAAGCTGAAGCATAGTATTAGTCACAATTTTGGAAGATAGAAAAAGTAGAGTAAAATAACTTCATCCCAGTGGAACATACCATTCCAAATTCTTGCCTTTTGTTCATGGCCCGGAAGTAGCAACAATAAGTGTGCGTTGCCAGTTGTAACACTGATGTAGGAAAGACTTTAAGGTTTGAAGCCAATGGCCAAGAAAGAATTCTTGAGGCATCTTTGGTGCAAAAAGGTGGTTTTGTTAAAGCACAGGGATAGGACCTATGGGTAGAAAGAGCTGAGGGGTGGTGACTTATATATTTTCAAGTGGGAAGGGAGCTCGGGATAGCATAAGTCTCTCCTGAATTTTGGAAGCAAATTTTTCAGGACCTTGAGGAGGGTTAACTACTGTTGGGAAAAGGTAATTTATTACTGTCCACTGAAACCTTAAGTCATGAGACCCTCCAGATATAGATCAGTGGGTCATATGCTTGGAAGATGAGTGCCAACATGTATCTTGGGGAGTAGAGATAAAGGAAGTTTCTAAAATAATTTTTATACTTAAAGAAGATCTTCAGGTACCTGGAGTCCGGCTAAGACTGCCTTTTGCTCTTACCAAAGTGTCAGTATTGAGGCAGTTGAATCCCTAGAGGAATGTTACTCTGCCTCTTTCAAGGACTTGTCAATGGCCTATAAGTATTAAGGAAGTTTAATAATTTTTCTTCTGCCTTTGTTTCCCACATCAAGTTTACTGATTTTAGAAGTCACAAAATATTTTATAATATAGAACAACTGAATGTAGAATCATTTGAAGTAGAATTACTTGAACATATAAAAATAATTTATTGGGAGGCATCTGGGTGGCTCATTGCATAAGCCTCTGCTTTCAGCTCAGGTCATGATTCCAGGGTCCTGGGACTGAGCCCTGAATCCTACATTGGGTTCCCTGCTCAGCAGGGAGACTGCTTCTCCTTTCCCACTCCCTCTGCTTATTCTCTGTCTCTTTCTCTGTTAAACAAATAAATAAAATCTTAAAAAAATAATAATTTATTGACAAGATGAGCAACAGCAACAGGATTGTAGTGTAAAGTTTAACAAACATCTTGGGATACATGTTCTGGAACAATGGATGGTTCTGACAGGTACCATCCATGCCCTTGGCACCTAGCAAGGAAGGTGTATTGTAAGAGAAAACTACAATATTCCATGTTGCTTACCTGTAAAAAAATGAAAGTAGTGAATTCCATGGGGAAAACAAGATGCCAGACTGTCTAACTGATTTTTAAAAACAAACCAACTGAGTATGTGCATCATTTATTATTCTGGTAAGTTATTGTGGCAATATGTAGTTGTGACCAGAGACTCTTGAGAGCCCGACATGAAACAGACACCTATCTCCTGACTTGACAGACAGAGGGACTTGGTGAATGAAGTCCTGTTTTCTCCCTCAGAAAATGCCAATTTCCCCACTGCACCCTTTGCTTCTTCCATTGGAAGCCACCGTGTGACCTTACGATGGAAACCTGCCAACATCTCTGGAGTAAAATACATCATTCAGTGGAAATATGCACAACTTCCTGGAAGCTGGACTTATACCGAGGTATGAAAAGTTGCCTACGTACATGCACATAGATTTTTTTTTTTTCAAATTACTAGAAGTTCCCAATTGCTACAGATTATTATAGGCATAAAGACATTCTAGAGAAAATTCAAGTATAAGATGAGTGGTTGGATTAGATGCACTCCTCTGTGGTCTTGAGCCACACGGTGCAGTGGGGATTCTATAAATGCTGATTACTAATCTCTCCCTGACATAGGCTGTGTCCAAGCTCTCATACATGGTGGAGCCCCTGCATCCCTTCACTGAGTATGTTTTCCGAGTGGTCTGGATCTTCACAGCCCAGCTACAGCTGTATTCTCCACCAAGTCCCAGTTACAGGACTCATCCTTATGGAGGTATGGTGTGTCTCTGTTGCTCATGAAATAAGGAGATGATTCCAAAGCTTAAGTTTAGTTTGTTTCTATTTTAAATAATGAAATAAATTATTCCTTCATCCGTTGACCCATCCAGTAATTGAGTACCTAACCATGTACCCCTTAGTGTTCTAGGGACTCAGCATGGCTCTGTGATCAGTACCACACTCCCTAATCTTGTGAAGCTCACCTTTTGGTGGAGAAGACATGCTCTAAGCAGTTAACATAATATAATAACAAAAGTATATTGTAAGTGGGAAAGTGCTGCTCTGTACAATGGTAAGAAGGGCATTTTGAACAGGATCTGTCCATTAGGGGCTTGCAAATGGGGCACAAGGGTGACAGATGGTCAGGTCGCAGTATTAAATAAGGTAGCAGAATAAGCCTCCATAAGCCATTAACAGTTAAGGACAGTTTGAAAGCAGAGAAGTAATTGTTTCACATGCTTCTGAAAAAGATAGTTGTGAAAGAATGAGACTGGGAAGCCAGGGGTACAGTAGCCAACCTGGAGGTTAGGATAATACTTGGACATTTTATCAGCCAGGATATTAAAAAAACATTGCATCTATCTTGGACTGTTTCTGATTTTTTTTCTTTTGAAGATGTGACTTCCACACCAGGTAAAGGGGTCAAACCTAGAGCATTTTAGGGGAATGCATGTCTGGACATTGCAGGAGTATCCTGTGGTGCCCTTCCCCTCGAGGTTAGCTGACTGAACCTGTGGGGATGTACTCCAGGCCAGGTGTTAGGTGTCCTGACTGCTCAGTTCTGGAGATGCGGCAGTGAGCACAGAGCCTCACACTGAACTAGGCTGTGGACCACTGAACTAGGCTGTGGACCTACGCACAGCTAGACAGCTGAGAAGCTGGTGATGGCATTTTCCCCTTTCCCTGATTTACGGTCCTTACTACTTATCAGATTTTAGGCTGTGTGTGGCCACCTCTCCTGATTACTCCCTGGCCATCCTCCAAAGCTTGAGTCAGACACTGGCTAGAACAATATTTGAAATGTTCCAGATTGGAGTGGAATACATGGATCTTTCTTTGTTCAAAGCAATGCCTCATGTATTCCAATAGTGTCAGGAGATTTTTCTGATGCTGGAGAGGTAATATGATCCAGGGCCCATGCCTAGTCAAATCAAAATAATAAGAAGGCAAATTTTGCTTTCTCGTTCCGAGCCTTTCTTCTGGATTCACAAGCCCTCATGTCCTCCAGGTATTCTAGACCTACACTGGGTGACATTTCCGTGGATAGACCTCATTCCTCAATTCCTTCTCACTTTTCTTTCTTTCTTTCTTTCTTTTTTTAAAGATTTTATTTATTTATTTGACAGACAGAGATTACAAGTAGGCAGAGAGGCAGGCGGGGGGTGGGGAAGCAGGCTCCCTGCTGAGCAGAGAGCCCAATGTGGGCTCGATCCCAGGACCCTGAGATCACGACCTGAGCTGAAGGCAGAGGCTTTAACCCACTGAGCCACCCAGGTGCCCCTCTTCTCACTTTTCTAGCCACATTAAAACGTATAGTTACCTGTTTTGTGATCCACGCCTCATGGCCCTCTTCTCCTTTCATGATGGGAAATGTATGATTTAGGTAGTATTATTACCTTTTAATTGAGGCCCTTATGAAAATAATTTCTTAACCAAGTAGAATGGTTAATAGGCAAGGAATATCTTGCCCACCCTGACTGGCCTTTCGGGGAGGACTTTTGTGGGAGAGATTCGGACATTAATCACAACTCACCTTGTGGGTGGCATCCAACTTGCTCAAAGTGGAGTGGATAGTATCTGAACATTGACCCTAATGAATTGGGTTTTCTGACATCTTGATTTCAATTAGTGAAAGATGATTCATACCCGTTGGTTCGCCAAGGTGACTGAGTGCAGGGAGCCGAGGAGTGGATACAATGATGTTTGTGTTTGCCAAGGATTGGTCTGAGAGTTAAGGAGGAATCATATTGGAGAAAGGCTGACAGATCAATAAATGGCCTTTTTTTTTTTTTAAAGATCTTATTTATTTATTTGACACAAAGAGGGATAGTGAGACAGAGAGCACAAACTGGGGAAATGGCTGGCAGAGGGAGAGGGAGAAGCAGGCTCCCCACTGAGCAGGGAGCCCTACCCTCTGGCTCCATCCCTGGATGCTGGGATCACCACCTGAGCTGAAGGCAGAGGTGCCCCTAAACAGGCCTTTTAAAAATTCATCCAATGTGAAGGCTGCACTGTCTTATTTCTACCAACTCTCCTGAGTCAGGTGTGGCCGACGGAGACTGTTTGCCAACTGTGCTCAAGGGAGGGAAGTCTACACAAGAAAGAAGTAACGTCAGAGTGTGTCTTTCTACAGGAAGAGGAAATGAAAGGGTGTGGTCTCAGGGGGCTGGAGGTATGCAAATAGGTGGAGGCAGGAATGGCAGGCTGTTAGATCTTTTGTTTTTCTTTCTGTTCTTTGCTACTTTGGTAGCTTCTTAAGTCTAGAAGTGAATGCTTAATGAATTAATACGTGTTCCTTTAATCCCTCACAAGGGAGAGGATGCTGCTAAAGCACAGTGAACTTGGATTCCTAGGGACCTTGGGAGCTGTGGGGAGGACGGGCAGTCCAGGTCTGCAGAGCTGATGTCCGCAAGAGGGAGGCACACTGTTCTGATTCAGGCTTATCTGAGCCCGTATCTTTAGCTGTGACTGGTCAGGCTTTAGCCAGCACTCCAGTGAGTGAAAAGGCCCACGATTTAGATTTACTTCCTTCAACTCCTGTTAATCATTGACTCCTGTTTTGTTATAGATTCTCTTCTTGTTAGGAACTGGGTCCCACCCCACAGTTTCAACTCACTCAGATCTCTGCAGACTTCGGATAACTTTGTTCTAGACCATTTATCCTCTTTGCATCCTTGCCCCTTCATAAATTAGATGCAAAGGAAATAACGTTCGGTAGAGGCCCTTAGGAAGGTAGCCAACTGGTCTCATTTAGGGAACAAGAGTTGCAGCTCCTAGCTGTAGTACCACCTTCTATCCCTTATTTTGAATATTAATAAAAATATTTAATTTACACTTCAAAAGATAAGACTCTTTCCCCCATGCTATTTACATTTTTTTGGTTGTACAGTTTCCTGCTCACCGTGTCACCATTACCTCTTCTAGTTCCTGAGACTGCGCCTTCCATTAGAAATATTGAGAGCTCGAGTCCAGACACCGTGGAAGTCAGTTGGGCTCCACCCCAATTCCCAGGAGGACCTATTTTGGGTTATAACTTAAGGCTGATCAGCAAAAATCAACAATTAGATTCAGGGACACAGAGAACCAGTTTTCAGTTTTACTCCACTCTACCAAATACCACCTACAGGTAAGAACGAAGTAGGGCAAGGAAGAGGGAGCCAACATGGCTGTGGGCATGATCATTATTTAAGAAATATGGCCCCAAAGTCATTTAAATGTATTTGGAAAACTCTCATTGACTTTGTGCTGTTGGGTTGATGTTACTGTAATTTTCCTCAAGTTTGTATGTTTGTTGGACTACAGTGTCCTAAGCAAAAACATTCTGAAGTATTTCTTTTGTATTCAGAGGGCCTTACAAATAGGCACACATAAAGACATCACGAACACCATAAATACCATTTCTTCATTTAACCCAACAGGAAAAAAAATAAAGAGGTAAAATTCTGTTAGTGGTGTTTTTTCATTAACCATTGGGGGATTATTTTATTATTGTTAGCTTTTCCAGCATTTACTAAGGCCTCTTTAAATTAGGGTAGGAATGGGGGTCATGCAGATAGCAGAGTTCAGTTTTTGACCTCTGTGACCCTGAGCTGTTCTCTGCAGAATGCAAACAAGGTCGTGATTGATGGTCATCTCAGGGCTGAGCCCTGGGACTGGGTAACTAGATACATACATTGCCACATTGTTCTTTAAATAGAAATATTATTGCTCCTTCTCTTTTTATCTCATGTTCACACCATGCCATGTGAAACACATCTCTCTAAATTGTTTTTGGAATAGGTTTTCCATTGCTGCTGTAAATGAAGTTGGTGAGGGGCCGGAAGCAGAATCTAGTATTTCCACTTTATCCTCAGCAGGTACAGCCTGGGAGTGCCCCTTCTGTTACTCGGGAACTGGGGGTGTGGCAAGAGTGGGTTCCGATCTCAGAGTCCTGGCTCATCTGGTTTGTCCTAAGAACCCTACCTCTTCTCCCCAAATCAATACTGTCTTTTGGGACTTGGTAAGCTCCAATTTTAAATGAATCCCATTGAGTAGTTGACCAAATAGAAGTTATTGGACCCAAAGGTTTTAAATGAGCATGTAGGAATTTCAGAATTTGTATGAAAAATATAGGGATAAGAAAATGGCCTCATACGAATCCTTAGTTTCAGATGAAATCACTCGTGATTATGACTTACCTTGAGTGCTTAGGGATACGTGTCATCTTTCTGCCCCTCCCCCATTTTGTACTATGTATCATCAATTAATACATATCAGGTACCTTTTTCTTCCATTCTCTGTTAGGTTTTTAAATGTATCTGGTCTGAATAATTTAAGTTTTACCATTTCAAATATTCAATCTACCAAGTTAGCTTTTGTTATTATTTTGTAAGTACTATTTTTTTTCACTTTGGCATATGAATGAGTGCCTGAGAGATTGAATACTTACTGTTTGATGTGTGGGAAAAATAATAAATGAAAATGCTTTCTAAGAAGCACTGGAAATATTCTGGAGACACGAGTAGGAGCCTTGAACAACACAGAAAGATTCAGAATTCTAGGAATCTGTTTTCTATTTTCACCAGAATTCCTATTTGCTGAATGGATGGCCTGTGCCCCAATCTGCACACGTCTTTGGTATTGAGTGTCTGCTATCATCAGCCTTTGGTTTTTTGGCTGTTCCAGGACTCTAGGAAAGGAGAGGCATTTTTGTTATGCAAGAAGCATCTGAAGGACGAGTTAAATATAGAGCAGGTTTAAGGCTGTTGTTCCTGCAATTATTACATAACTTTAATTAATTGCCCTTCATGGACTTACCCTGCACCAGTCTCCAGCTGAGTGGGACGTCAAGCAGAGTTCTGCAGTCCTCAGAATTCATTGCTCTAAGGACTTTTCTCCAGCCTCAAAGGGAGAGATAATTGAAGACCAAACAGAGACAACTGATGTCTGTCTGGTGTTACGCAATAGCTCAGTCTGGCTGGGGCTGGACCACCTCCCTGGAGCACTCACATTCTCAGGGCTGTGGATAATGAGCAGAGCTCCGGCTGGCCCAACGACGTTGAGAATGGTGATCCCTTACGTGGTCTGATTTTGTCAGCGTTTAGGGACACGTACATATAAAGCCTACTTGATTGACCCTATACTGCCCGCCCCCCGTCATGGAATGATGTGATTTATGCTGCAGTTGAAATGCCCCTGGTGCCTTCAGAGAAAAATCTGACCAGCCTCTTTTGAGCATTAGTTGCCTTGCTTTGAAGGGTGGTAATGATTTTTTTGTGTGTCGATGTGCATGTGGTTGGTCTGCCTATAAATCATGTTATTGTTTTAGTTCAAGAAGAGGAACAGTGGCTCTTTTTATCCAGAAAATCTTCTGTAAGAAAGAGATCTTTAAAACATTTAGTAGATGAAGCCCATTGCCTTCATTCAGAGGCTATACACCATAATATTACAGGTCAGTATGATTGAAAGAAATGTTTCCTTCATGAGAAAAAAAAAAAGACCCAGACTGACTTCTATTTTGATCTCCTTATTGAAAATTAAAGAAATAAATTTTCTGTCACATAAAGTTCTTTTTGGTTGTGATATTGTAACACACATGTGTTTGCATGGCTCTTCTAGGAATATCCGTTAATGGTCACCAGCAAGTTGTCTATTTCTCAGAAGGGACTCTAATATGGATGAAAGGGGTTGCCAACATGTCTGATGTGTCTGACCTGAGAATTTTTTACAGAGGTTCAGGATTAATTTCTTCCATCTCCGTAGACTGGCTTTATCAGAAAATGTTTTTCATCATGGATGAACTGGTTAGTCTGAGGATTTAATGTGAATAATTAGATATTGACACTCACATGCATATCTTGATGTATCTACAGGGAAACATAGTTCTTTCACTCAGAAAATACTCAATGAGTATTTACTGGGTTTTAGACATTAGGTTGGCACTGAGTCCTAGATCTGGTCTATAGGAAGTTCTGGACTTTGCCTAAGATGACCTACTGTTAAATCACCTTTATTTGTGATTTTTCAAAGCCACAAGTTTATTGCATTAATGATAATTCATTTTTCATAAGAGAGTGGTGGTACCTGTGCTATCACCGAGTAAGACTACCGATCATGAAGAAAATCAGCTGTAGGCATTTTAAATTATATAATAAACAAGGGTAACTTCAGTAGTCTCAGGAAGTACCATATTACTGAAATCTTTGAGAAGACAGTCCTGATCTGTTTCAACGTTCCTTCTTTCAAAGGGACAGGCTTATTACAATCACCATGACTGGAAGTCTATAAACTTGGATACAACTTAAATTTTAAAAATAGTTGAGGAGTGTCTGGCCAGCTCAGTCGGTAGAGCTTATGACTCTTGATCTCAGGGTTTTAAGTTTGGGCCCCATGTTGGGTGTAGAAATTATTAAGAAAAATAAAAAAGAAAAAGAAAAAGAAAAAAAATCTTTAAAAAATTCGATTGGTTCCACAAACCAGGAAAACAGGTATTTGTATTTCATTGATATAAACAGGATGCACATCTGTTAGGATATAAGATATAAAACAGACTTTTATGAGGTTTTTTTTTTTTATACTTTGAAAAGTGATCAGTGACTAGCACAATTCTAAGCACAGAAGAGGTTCTCAGGAAATACATGTGCTTAGGGAGGGGATGGAGGGGTGGGGGACGCATTAAAAAAGAAATACTTGCTTGCCAAACTGAATACAGACAGACACTGATCTACAGATACATGCTTGATTCTCTAGGTGTATGTCTGTGATTTAGGAAACTGCTCGAACGTTGAGGAAATTACTCCTCCCTCAATTACTGCACCTCAGAAAATTGTGGCTGATTCGTACAATGGGTAAGTGTTAGCCTTATGAGTTCTCTTCCTTGGCAAGAATCTTTGGGAAACTTGCTTGATAATGAAACATCATAGAACCAGAGAAGGCAATCTATGTATCTTATTTCAAATGTAATTAAATCTAGGCAAAGTTTGGATTTGAGAGAGAGAGAGTGCAGAAGCTAGGGAGAGAGGCAGAGGGAGAGGGAGAAGCAGACTCCTCCTGAGCAGGAAGCCTCACACTGGGCTTGATCCCAAGACCTTGGGATCATGACCTCAGCCAGAGGTAGCCACTTAAGTGGCTGAGCCACCCAGGTACCCCAGCGAATTGATCTTAAAAAAAAAAAAAAATGTTGCTCATTATTGATCTGAAATCAAATTCTCTATTCACATTCACTCATAATTTACTGGGTACTTATTTTGTCTTACTTTGTCTTAATTTGTCTTGTTACTTAAGTTTGAATGAATCACTGATTCGAGAATATGTTTTACAAACACCATGTTGTAGGGTGAGTCCTTTGGACTCCCTGAATCTTGTTTTTCTCAGTTGTAAAAGTGTAAGATCCTATGAGATGGAATTTGCTGCTGGCATTAACCCCAAATGATTTGTTGTAAGTAAACTTCACCCACTAAATAAATAATAATAAATAAAATATTATATATAATAAACATAATAAAGGTAATAAACTTCACCCACTAAATCAGTCACGCAAAATGTATCTCAGTGAGGTCTTTGGTGGCTCTTTTTTCCATTAGATAAAATTGATTTGTGCTTAGATTTTGAACTGTGACTAGAAATGATGATGATAATATTAATTGGTAATTCTAAGTGTATTACTTCCAAAAATTCATTTAATTCTTGTTCAACCCTATGAGCTAGGCACTTTTATTATCTCAATTTTATGGCTAGGAAGGCACAGGTTAGTAATTGCCCAAGACCACACAGCTCTTTTGTGATGAAGCCAGTATTTAACCTCTAGGTCGTCTTCTGATCATCTCTTTATACACTAATAGAGTTTCTGTAAGATTCAGCATATAACTTTTAGCAACACTTTGTATGTAGTATCCCTAAGGAATTCCAGTTGTGTGAAATCACTTATTCTCCTGGCATTAGAAGTGGTTTCCTTTATGCTGTTATTTGCACCATTGAATTATTCACTCATTGAGTTTGTACTTACTCTAAACCTCTTTCCTTCTTCCCCACCCTGCTTCTTCTCCTTCTCACCCCTGCCCTTTCCCCCACCCACCCACCCCAGCTCTGTGTGCCTTCCCTCTCCAAAGTGGCAATGAGGGTTGAAGACCTGCCTTCTCTCTGCTTTTGCGCAAGGATTATAATCTTCACCCCAAATCTTCTTCCTCTTGTCTACTCTGAAGTCCATCTATGTTCCCTTAATAGCTTTGAAGTTGGAAAACTAAAGCAAACAATTAAGAGCCAAGTTCTTTCTGCTTTTTGCCTGCTATAACCCTCTCTTAAGGAAAAGGACATAGCTTCACATCTCAACATAAAATTTATATTTCAGTATGTTATTTTAGCACAGGGGTGGAGCATATTGCTAAAGATTTGGAGTAGTCATGGAGGAGAACAGGGATGGACTGAATAGGACAAGGAAAATAATTTGACAGTTGTAATGGCAGGTTGTAATCCTGTCAGTTCCAGGGGTTGTGAGAAGAGAGATTTACTAAGAAGAAGTATATATATATATATATTTTTTTTTTTTGAGAGAGAGAGGGGGATGGGGTGAGGCAAAGGGACAGGGGGAAAGATAGACTCTTAAGCAGTCTCCATGCCCGATGTGGAGCCCAATGTGGGGCTTGATCTCATGACCCTGAGATCTTGACCTGAGCCAGAATTAAGAGTCAGACGTTTAACTGACTGAGCCACCCAGGTGCCCCAGCAGAAGTGTACTTTTGTTAACATCTGTTTCCATGATCACAAATTCTAAATTAGCTTCAACCAAATTAATAGTTTTATGTTTTTTTAAAATATTATTTACAGATTTGGTTTATCAATGAAATATTTTGGTGATATTTTCTGTTTCATTATTAATAATGCACCTGCACCATTATCATGAGATTCGGCTCCAAATTAGGTAGTTTTTGTTTTGTTTTGTTTTGTTTTGTTTTTAATTCTTCCACTGGCTGCTTCAAGCACCTGGGTGGTCCATCCCAGCTGTTTTGCTGTCTTGTGGGGTATTTCTTCATGATTTGTAAAATGGTAGCTCTATTGCCCCACTTAATTGTAAATATTAAATGAGGAACGTAGCCCACTATAAAATGCAAGGTGATTTTGCTAGATATTTATAGCAAAATAATAACTGGTTTTGAAAAATGGGTTAAACGTTTTTGCTTTCTCTTATTTTATCCTTCACAGTGCTTGGGGAAAATGTATAGAAAGAATTAGATTTCAGAATATGTGCATTTTGGAGAAAAGTGTTTTACAATAAATAACATGTTTAGCCATGTCATTTTTATATACTATGCTTTCCTTTGAAAGCAGGCTTCATTAGAAAATCTTGAAGACCCTTTCTGTTCTTAAATTCTGATTCCTGATAAAGTCATCTATCTAATTGGAAGACAAAGCATTGTAAGCAAGGCTGAAATTTTCCAGTGTTCCAGCTTCTAACTTAATTGAATAGTGCATATCTTTAGTAAGTACCTTTACCCTTGTGCACCTTGGGACACCCTAGGCTTAGCGACTAGTGAGATAAATGGTTCTGATTGCATCACAGGACAAAGCAGGGGGCTGAGGTTACTCATCTGCACTTGCATTGGATCACATCAGGCTTCTTTTGATCCCATGTCAGGTATGTCTTTTATCTCCTGAAAGACGGCATTTATAGGGTAGCCCTCCCCGTGCCATCTGGTCGGGACTCAGAAGCCCTACGTATTGTGGAGAGTTGCACGTTGAAGGACTTTGCAGTGAAGCCCCAGTCCAAACGAATCATTTACTTCAATGACACCACTCGTGTCTTCATGTCGACGTTTCTGGACGGCTCCGCTTCCCACCTTGTCCTAGCTCATGTCTCCTTTGCTGAAGTGAAGAGCTTTGCATGTGAAAACTACGACTTCCTTGTCACAGATGACAAGGCCGTTTTCCAGCAGGACTCTCTCTCTTTTAATGAGTTCATCGTGGGATGTGACCTGAGCCACATAGAAGAGTTTGGATTTGGTAACCTGGTCATCTCTGGCTCCTATGCTCAGCCACACCCCCTGCCGGGCTGCCCGCAACAGTTCTCCGTGCTCTTTGGCTCCCACCAGGCCCTGGTTCAGTGGAAGCCCCCTGCCCTCGCCATAGGAGCCAGTGAGTGCCCCTCCCCAGCATTGCTGGAAGGAGGAAAAGTTTGAATTGCTTGACATTGTGCCTCACTTTTGAGAACCTGTATGTGACTGATTATTCAGTCATCAACCAGAAGTGCTATTTAGGTCCAGAAAAAGTGCTTATACATTTGTTCTGCGTTTATTGGTTTCACACTAGGAGGATGTCTATATTTCTTGTGTATATCCCAACACAGTAGTTGCAACATTTATTGAATGTCTTCCAGGAGGCAGGCACTAACATTCTGGTCTGAGTGAATATGTTAGCCAGAGGGATAGAGCAGATGGATTAAGATTTGTATCCATCCAGACCTTGCATGAATTGGAACAACTTCCTAAAACTCTGTGAACTTGAACTTCCATCTCCAGACAGGTGGTGTGTGTGGAAGGTAGGCAGGTGGGCTTTGGAGCCAGCCTGCATGGATTCAACGGCTGGTCTTGTCCTTTTTTAGTAGAATAATCCATTGGCACATTACCTAAATGTTCCATGCATTGGTTTTCACTCCTAGAAAATGGGAGCGTTAATTCTGTCTTTCATTGGGATTGTCACACAGATTAAATTAAGGTGCATCAGTAGACCACGTAGCATGGTATCTAGCATAGAGGTCGGCAAACTTTTTCTCTAAAGGAAGGACTAGATAGTACGTGTGCTCAGCTCTGTGGACCATATGGTCTCTGTCATAGCTACTCAAGTCTGTCGTTGAGTGTGTAAACAGCCCTAGATAATATGTAAATGAGGAACTGTGGCCGTTCCAGTACAATTTTATAGACAAAAACAGGCAGATTTGGCCTGTGGGCTGTCGTTTGCCAACTTCTGGTCCTAGAGTATTTAGCAAACATGGGCTATTTTTGACTTGAAGACAAAGCTAATTATGCCCGTTTGCTGTATATTTGCACTACTCTAGAGACAATTTTTGTTGTTGCTGTTTGGTTTTGTACAGATTGGGCTTCTAGGAGGAAGATGCTATGCAAACATTGAGAATTATATTAGAGATTCATCATTAAACATTTGTTTATTAGGAGCATGACTACACCTGGGGGTGTTATTTGACACCCCTCTGATTTTTTGCAGCCACACATCTAGCTTTGACTGAGCTTTGACTCTGATTTGTTGGAAATGGTGTCCCCTTCGAGGGAGCCCACACTATGGTGTGGCTGGAGCGGACAGTGTCCCAGTCGTATGGTCAGACCAACCTAGCGGGGTAGCATGTTTTACTGGCCTGTTACCCTTCCACTCAAGATGAAGCTGTAGATGAAGTCACTGGTAATTGTTTGCTCTTGCCTGTTGCATCCTTGTGAGTATTATTGTTTAACTCTTCTGATTAGGCCCCTCTGCCTGGCAGAACTGGATTTATGAGGTGAAAGTATCAACCCAAGACTTTCCTGAAATCACTCATGTTTTCTCGAACATCAGTGGGACCACACTTCATGTGCCCAAGCTGCAGAGTGCTACGAAATACGAGGTTTCTGTGAGAGCCAGTTCTCCCAAGGGGCCAGGCCCTTGGTCAGAGCCCTCGGTGGGTACAACCCTGGTGCCAGGTGAGAACATGTTCTGGATTCAGGGAGTAATACTGACAATGTAGGTTTATTACCTGTGTCCTTAAGACTCATCAACTCCAGTGTGGTAAAGAAACTGGAATAAGGATGCATGGATCTCTTGATTTTGTGTTTATTATCTGGATGAGGAAGGCAAATACAGCATTGTGTGATATTTAATTTATGTTTCTAAATTATTATCTTATCCTTTTCAAGATATTTTTAAGGAAATGATATAATTTTCTTCTTCTTTGTGGCTTTCTTCTTTCTTATGGTTTAAGAAGCAATAATACCCCTTGAACTCTGAAGGTCATGGGGAGAGAAGTTGAGGGGTGGTGAAATATACTGAACTCCACCCTGTTGGCTGAAAGAACATGGAAAGAGAATTATACCATTTATACTGCTGTTGTTATCACAATGACTTCTGGGTGCTCTGCATGGAAACATGGCAACCAGCAGCCAAAGGGGAAGGGGAAATTGTGCCATGACCATGACATTGCTATAGAGGCAACATTGCCACACAGTTCTCTTCACATTCAATTTCAATTATTTATGTAAAAATCAGAAAATATATTTAACATGACAGATAATTCTGTTAAACACATGTAATCACTCATATCCTTCCACTGTATTTTTCGAAGTAGATAGTCTTTTACTTTATAAAGAAAATCTTAGGGTATGAGATGTGTGCCTTAAAATGTGTGTTTTCTGTGATATTTCTTTTAATTTCCTTTTCACCAAACAGCTTCAGAACCACCATTTATCATGGCTGTGAGAGAAGATGGTCTTTGGAGTAAACCACTGAATAGCTTTGGCCCAGGAAAATTCTTATCCTCTGATATAGGAAATGTATCAGGTAAACACCAAATCCTTGCTCACTTGGATGTCAGATTTCTACATATAAGGCCTCCTAAGCTCTTCAGTATGTTCAAAGAACTGAGTGTTTTGGTATTAGGTCAATAATGAAAGGAAAAAACATGGACTGAACTACATAGCCAGTGATGCCATTAAGAAAATGTCAGTTCTCCCGTATGGATGTTATTTATTATTTCATAAAATGTGAGGCTATTTATTGATTTATGCCCATTTCAGTATGGCTTTGATATAGTTCTCCTGTATTTGAACCTCTCAATGTTATCTTGAGGTAACAGCCTATCTGCTTTCACTAAAACAGCTTGCTTAAGTAATTTACTATGTTTGCTATACGATTGAAGCAAGGAATGGTTGCGTGAAGTTCTGAGTGAAGTAGAAGAAAAAATTCCTTGACAAAGAGGTCTACTAAGTAATAAGTGGGTAATTTTGCCTAGAAGATCTTAGGATGAAGGAAAGTCTTCATTGTGAGATGATGATCAGTGACCTTGCCTGCAGATGACATCTCTCTAATCATGGGCATTATTTGTTCTATTTGCTGGGCCACTCAAAGTAAAACATTTCTGACCAGTAGAGGACAGTTGTCATAGCAGAAAGAATGATGCGTTGGAGTTGTCTTGAATCTGGGCTCCTACTCTTTTCATCTGGGAGGCCTCTGGCAGAACAGATGATCTCACTGAGTCTCAGGTTTACCAAGTCGAAAATGGGGATAATTCCTACTTCATATCTTTGTTTTTAGATTTAAGTGAGATATGTTAAGTGCCCAGAACCATGTTTGGCAAAGAGGAGGGGCTCAGTGAATATCAGTTCCTCTCCCTAGTCCTGGGGGTTGAGATTTTGAAAGAACACTATTGAAACATGGCTCACAGATCCCTGAAGTTCTAATGAGTATCATGTTAGTGTGCGCCTTAACATTATATGGAGGTGTATGTGTGATTTGTTGACTCACCGCGTTTATGCTGGAATGCACGAGAAATAACCGCTACCAATTCACTTTGTTTTGAGACATGGATTGGTATAACAACAGCCTCTACTACAGCGACATGAAAGGTGATGTTTACGTGTGGCTGCTGAATGGGACGGATATCTCAGAAAATTATCACATATCCAACATTGCAGGAGCAGGGGCTTTAGCTTTTGATTGGCTGGGTCAGTTTCTCTACTGGGCTGGAAAAACATACGTGGTAAGTTAAAGCTCAGCATTCTGGATGCTCTAGCACAATACTTATCCTCCAGTAACTTACATGTCATTTTCATGATTTTTTTTTCATATTTGTATACCACCTGTGCTATTATTTATTTAATATTCATCTTACTCAAATTTACTCACTTTTTAATTAAAAGGGATTATATGTAAAGGAAGCTTTCAATTGCTATTTGGTACACTAGTTATGTATTTTTAGTAATATCTTAAGTATATGAAAATGTTCATCTGTGGGTCAGTGTCCTGGAGGAAGGTGACACACTCCAAAGGCATGATTAAAGGAAACCCAATGAAGGGACTGTTTTCAAAGGTGTGGAGAGGGTTAAGGAAAATGAACAGAGGATGGTGAGGCATGTCCCCGGCTAGTAAGTGTGGGAAGATATAAGCACCTTCAGGCATGTGGGGGCTGGAGGGGAAGAATCTGGTGAAGGCTGGAGCTACAGAAGCTGCTGACCTGAGAGCCAGCCACTGTCAGGAGGTATGGTCTATCAAAGAGCGACCTGGGGGTAGAAGGACCCCAGTCCTTCTTTCCTTCTGCCTTCCGATCTTCTGCCGGTGCTTCCATTGGCTGAATGTCCTTGGAAGCCAGAGAATGAGTCCAGCTGATGCAGTCTACAGCACCAGCTCCTGGGGACACAGAGTCAGGCAGAGTAGGTGGGAAGTGTAGCTGGATGCAAAATGAAGACATCCTGCACATCGATGTAGTAGTCCACTTTGAAGAGACAGATGGTTAATGATGAGAATACTGGTCTGACCGATCAAGAAATATGGTACTGGAATCATTTTCTAATCCATTCATTTATTCATTCAATAATGATTTATCTATTACCAATGTGTTGAGAGCCATGAGGATAGGCATGGTAGGGAATATAAAGTGGATAGTAGACATGGACCTGCTTTAAAAAATTCAACCTTATGTGATACAATTCACATACAATCATAGTCACCCTTTTATTGTACAAAATACACTGTTTTTTAGTATGTTCAGTGTTGTGAAAACCATCACTACTTGCCGTTGTTCTTTTGATGAGAACAAATATGTATATACAATAATAGAAGAAGTATACAAAGCGATGTTTAGAGACAAAGCAATGTGGTATAGTCTGTAAGCGCCAATGTTATGTGGGTGGAATGGAGTTGAGTGGAGTAAATTTGAGAATGCTCCCTGGAATGTATTAATTTAAAAATAGTTTTGAAGGAAGAAGTAGAAGAGTGGATGTAAAAACAGCTTTCAAGTATTTGCTCTGTCTCTTACAAATTGCTTAATTCCAGGAAAAATTACTGCTTTGAAACCAGTTAACTTGCGATAGAAATCCCTTATAATGTTAGGGTTACAAAAGCTAATATTTTGAAGATAAAAGTACACACCACCTGACACATAGTAGGTACGCAGTAATGGCCATAACTACTATCAGGGAAATATATTGATAGACATGAGCAAGGAGAGAGGGCATCATTTATCAGGATGTGTACATCTTCTCAAGACTCCAATCAAATGCATTCTGATCTAGCAGTGTTTCAGTTGTCTGGTTGTATGATTAGGAAGAATAAGAATTTAAGGAAGAATTTTAACTCAAAATCAATTTGCTCCCCTTTTTTCTAGGGTCATGAAAAGAGATGAGCTCCACAAGGGTGTTCCTCATGACTAGTATGTTCCCAAGGGTTTGCACATTACCCAGCACATAGTGCTAATAAATATTTGTGATTGGATGAATGTAGCAATTTACTAATGATTGCAATAAACTACTCAGAAATAACCATGTCATGTGAAAAGTATTAACCAATCATCTAATTATGTTTTATAGATACAAAGGCAGTCTCTGTTGACAGGGCACACAGACATTGTGACTCATGTGAAGTTGTTGGTGAATGACATGGTAGTGGATTCAGTTGGAGGTTATCTCTATTGGACCACACTATACTCAGTGGAAAGCACCAGGCTAAATGGAGAAAGTTCCCTTGTACTACAGACACAGTCTTGGATTTCTGGGAGAAAGGTGATAAATTAAAAATAGGATCTGATCACTTACTAATATTCAGTAGTGCTACTGTGTAATTAGGACAATAGTTCAGGTAGAATCTGAAAGGAAATACTGAGATGTTGGTATAACCAAAATTTCTCTAAGTCTCATTTACTTGTCATAATGGATTAAATAAATTAAAATACAGTATGGAGAATTTTGTAATTTGCTTTATCTTGAATGGACTGACACTTAAAAGCATTTTAATTTCTGACTGTTTTTAGAGACCTCAGGAATTGTACTGAATATTTTAGAGCTTCTTGTTGGATAATAATTAGATGTTTTATTATTTTCCATCATTTTTGGGTACAGATTGCTTAGATATTTTGTTATAGTCAATCAATTTTGGGTACTGACTGCTATAAAAACTGTGTGCCTCCTAGGCAAATTATTTGACTTCTCTTTGTTTCCTTATTTGAAAAATGGGAATATTAGCAATTGTCCTACCTCTTAGAGTTATTGGGGTCTTGGGGAGTAGGGAGGGAAAAAAATGGAACAAGATGGGATCAGGAGGGAGACAAACCATAAGAGACTCTTAATCTCACAAAACAAACTGAGGGTTGTTGGGGGCGTGAGGGGTAGGGATAGGGTGGCTGGGTTATGGACATTGGGGAGGATATGTGCTATGGTGAGTGCTGTGAAATGTGTAAGACGGATGATTCACAGACCTGTACCCCTGAAGAAAATAATACATTATATGTTAGTTTAAAAAAAGAGAAAAAGGGAAAAAAAAGATTAAATGAGATAATTAATGGGAGATACTGAGAATAGTTCCAGGGACAGGGTAACCACTCCATAGTTAAGTCCTTATCACTGTAACTAAATCTGAAAAATACACCTAATATAGGAATGTATCTAAACACGTGTTACTTTCATTCTCTTGATCTTCAACTTCTAGATGCAATACCTATTTTCTCAAGACCCTGTAGCTATTCATCTAACTATTTGACTTTTGTGTTTCCTGATCATGTTTACTATAGGAATTTAGAAATCACAGAAAAGCATGAAAAAGAAATAAAGCATTCATACTATTTCGACCTAGGATATTCCTTAAAATTTTTCTTATTTTTAATCTTTTTTTCCTGCCAGTAGAGATAAAATACACACAATATGGACATACCAGATCATTTGTAAACACATTGTGAGCCACATGATCTCAATTCCAGCCTACGTGGACTGTAATTCCTAGAGTATTTAGAAGACCTTATTTGCATATACAGATTATAAAACAGATATTTAAAAGAAATAAAGATTTATACACATATCCAGAGATTAGTCATTTCTATCAAATCGTGAAAACATCCCTTAATTCTACTTTGGAGTCACTTGAGTCTGAATACAGGAGAGTATATTTTTTATGCCTCAGTAATAGGTGAGAGGACAAAGCACTTTTATTTTTGTAAAGGCATATGAAAGATAATATCTCAGGAGTAACTTTCTGTCTATTCCTGGGACTTTGTCAGTAATGTCCCCCCACTGCTGCAATCTGGTCATTTGAGACATATTCACACAGGAAAGTTCTAAAATGGCTCTGGGGACTTTTCTGAAAAGGAGTGAGAAATTAGATTACTCAGCATGTTTGGGGAAACACACCATTCCCTAAATCCCCACTCCAGATCCTCTCATTGTCTGGTGAATGTTGTTGCTTGTACAAATCTGTGTTCTGGGTCCATGGTTTGATGTCTTACTCATCTGCTTCCATTAATGCTAGTGGGTTTTTGAAGGTAACACATTTATACAGAGCAAAACTCTCCATTTCACTGTCATTCCTTCATACGTTACTCATAGATTTATCATGGAGTCATGAGATACTCTGCAATCAACAGATACAATAAAATAGACAATTACTTAGAGAAAGAATGGATATTTATGTGATTCAAAGGGAGAATGCTGTGAGATATTCATCTAAAGTGATACCCTTTGCCACATTTGATCGGGCTGGCTCCTAGCGTGTAGTACATTTTACCACAGGATTAAACCTCCAGCTTTTAGTTTCGATCACAGGGATTATTCCCAAGCCATGGACATTATTAAATGTAACAATGGTTACCAAAGACAAATGGAACATCCTCTGGCTCTGTTTAAATATGGGCCCAAATGATTGATACCAAGGAATGGGGTAATGACACAAAACCTGAATTTTACTTACAGCTCAAATCCTTTGTTGTATTCCAGAACAGGGAGTTGTAGAATATTCCTTTTCAAGAAATAAAAGAGACTTCCTAATTTGGAAAATTCGTGGGCATGTCATTATAAATAACCAAATAGGATTAACCCGATTTCACTCCAACTGAAACATTAGTCAATACATTTCTTTTAGCCTGAGGCAAGGACATGATACAACTCCGCAAAAGCTGGGGATTGCTCGAATAGTGTTTATTTTTTTATTTTTTTAATTTTTATTTTTTTAAAATGTATTTATTTATTTATTTGACAGATAGAGATCACAAGTAGGCAGAGAGGCAAGCAGAAAGAGGGGGAAGCAGGCTCCCTGCTGAGCAGAGAGCCCAATGTGGGGCTTGATCCCAGGACCCTGGGACCATGACCCAAGCTGAAGGCAGAGGTTTAACCCACTGAGCCACCCAGGTGCCCCTTTTTATTTGTTTTTATCTTGTGGGAAAGTAGGTTGAGTTTCCTTGAAGACAGAAGGCTGTTGTGTATGATAGCTGGGGTTCCTTGCAGTCATGTGCCTTGGTAGCAGGCCTTGGGGAACCTGTCAGCAAGGATTTTTAGTTCTTGGATACCTTGCTGTATTCTTTTTTTACATTTCTCCCTGGCTCATCATCTTTGTTTTTCTGCTTCAGCGTCTTGTTAAAGACATAGTCATCAACTTTAATCCTTGATCCCTCTTAGTCCCTAGGTCTGTTCTAGAACCCGTCCATCATTCTGAGGTCAGGCGCCTGGCAATCTCAGCTTGTTTGAAAAATACTTCTAACACCAAAGAAAGAAAAAGAGTTCCCTTGGGTTGTAACTTCTGTCCATGCAGTCTATTTCACAGGAGAAGCAGTCTTTCCTCAGGCCTCACCTAGACAACTGAACATAAAATTAAGACAGGCACTATAACAAGAAGATGAGGGAAGTTTAGTAAGCGGTGGTTTTCAGATGTGAACTGGAAATAGAACTTCATATATACACGACTCTATTAAATTATAACACATAAAACCCCTGTGTATATTATATTTTTTAAATGTGTCAGGATGTTTTGGTTGTAATGAACAGAAAATATAATTTAAAATGGCTTAAGACTTTGATTCTCAAGCTTGGTGACGTATTAGAATTATCTGGAGAATTTGAAAACACACTGGAAATGCAGTTCTATCTCCAGAGGTTATAATTTAATGGGAGGCACTCTGAGAATTGAGGGGGGTTTAAGAACTCAGCAGGTGATTCTAATGTACATCCATGTTTGAAAACAACAGATTTAAATGAAAATGAAATTCATTGGCTTATTTGGCCGGGGTCCAAACTTATGGCTAGCTTTAAGTAAAGCCTAACACAGTGACTCAAAATTCCTGATTCAGTAGGACCTGAAGTGTGGCTGAGAATTTATGATAAGTTTCCAAGTGATGCTGATGTTGTGGGTCCAAGAATCATACTTTGAGAACCACCAGTGCTGAATTTATAGAAGTCTCTGCATTTTGAGGGTTTTTAGGAAACTAGTGTCTATATCCAAATTGCATAGAACGAGGCACACTCATGTAATTTTTATATTCAATGAAAGGTAAAAATTACTGAGTTTATTATTCCAAAGAGGATGTTAAAGAGAAATCTATAGTTTAAGTATGACTTATTCGCAAAGGTATCCTCCAAACATGTATTTGATTCATTTTCTCACCTTGTTTTCTATTTAGGTAATTGCTCTAACTTTAGACCTTAGCGATGGGCTCCTGTATTGGTTGGTTCAAGACAGTCAATGTATTCACCTGTATGCAGCTGTTCTTCGGGGGCAGAGGTAAATAATCTCCTTGAAAACAATTGGTTCAGAATGAGAACGAACTTACTTGACCTCAGTTATGTGATAATGCACAAGAATTCATTTATTCTCCCAATAAACATTTATGAATTATCCACTATTTTTGCAGGCATTGTGGTTGTGGGGAAAGATAGGTTTGTAAACAAATACAGTGGAATATGGTGAATCCTATGATGGGGCAGAAAGAGAGTACAGTGGAGACACTGAGAAGGATGCTTCTCGAGAGCCCAGAAATGGATGGAAGTGTTTTTTTGTTTTCTTAACAAGGCAGAGTGTATATGATAGAGTTAGGCAGAAATTATCTGGTTTTCAACGGGTTTATACCATTTTACATCCCCCCCCTCCCCGCCAGAGATGTATCAAAGTTCTGGTTCTTCCACATCCTCCCAAAAGTCGGCTTTGCAATCTTTTATTTTATTTAAGATTTTATTTATTTATTTGACAGAGAGAGGGAGATCACTAGTAGGCAGAGAGGCAGGCAGAGAGAGGAGGAAGCAGGCTCCCCTCAATCCCAGGACCCTGAGATCATGACCCCAGCCGAAAGCAGAGGCTTAACCCACTGAGCCACCCAGGCACCCTTTGGCAATCTTTTAAATTTCACCATTCACTGTGGTATGTAGCAGTATATCATTGTGCTTTTTAATTTACAGCTGATAATGACAAAAACAGTTTTGACTACTTTTTAGTTTGTTATTGACTATTTATATATCATCTTTTTATTAACATATAATGTATTATTTGTTTCAGGAGTATACAGGTCTGGGAATCATCAGTCTTACACAATTCACAGCACTCACCATAGCACATACCCTCCCCAATATCCATCCCCCAGTAACCCCATTACTCCCACCTACCTCCCCCTCCAGCAACCCTCAGTTTGTTTCCTGAGATTCAGAGTCTCTTATGGTTTGTCTCCCTCTCTGGTTTCATCTTGTTTCATTTTTCCCTCCCTTCCCCTATGATCCTCTGTCTTGTTTCATGATGTGGCCATTCAAATATTTTTTTCACTAATTGACTATATAGCTTTTCATTTTTGAGATGCAGGAGATATTTACGTGTTCTGTATGTAAGTCCTTTGTTAAATATATGTGTTGTGAATATTTTCTCCCAGTATTTGACTTATCTATATATTTGTTGGTAGTGTGTTTTGGTGAGCAGGAGTTTTAATTTTTACTTACTCAATTTATCAATTATTTTATGGTTTGTGTTTTCAGTGACCTCTGTAAGAAATCTTTGTCTATCCCAAGGTTGTGAAGGTTTTTTATAATGCTTTTTAAATTGTTTTAGCTTCCATATTTAAAATATATGACCCATCCAAAATTGTTTTTTAGATATGACTTTTAGATACTGGTTTTTAGATGTTTCTTTTTTATATGAATATCCAATTGTTCTAGTACCATTTGTTTTTCTTCGTTAGAAAGGGAGAGCAAGAGTAGGGGGAGGGGCAGAGGGAATGGGAGAAATTTTTTTTAAAGACTTTATTTATTTAAAAGGTTTATTTATTTGTCAGAGAGCGAGAGAGAGAGCTTTCACACAACAGGGGGAGGGGCAGGCAGAGGGAGAGGAAGAAGCAGGCTCCCTGCTGAACATGGATCCCCCCCTCAACATGGGACTCAATCCCAGGACCCTGGGATCATGACTTGAGCCCAGGGCAGAAACCTAACTGAGTCACCCAGGCATCCCTTAAAGACTTTATTTATCTCTTTGAGAGAGAAAGAGCACACAAGCAAGGAGGTCAGGAGGAGCAGAGGGAGAGCTAGAAACACACTTTGCTGAACCAGGAGCTCTACTCAGGGCTCTATCCCAGGACACTGAGATACCCTGGGATCATAACCTGAGCCAAGGTAGATGCTTAACCGACTGAACCATGCAGGTGCCCCAGAGAGAAAGAGAATCTTAAGCAAGCTCCATGCGCAGTGTAGACCTGACACAGGGCTCTATCTCATGACCCTGAGATCATGACCTGAGCCACAATCAAGAGTCAGATGCTTAACCAACTGAGCTACCTGGGTGCCCCTTCAGTACCATTTGTTAAAAGGATTTGCCTTTCATTATTTAATTGTTTTGGTGTCCTTGTTCAAAATTATTTGACTGAGTATATTTGGGTCTATTTTTGGACTCTATTCTGTTCCTTTGATAATTTGTCTAGTCTCATGTGGATACTACATTTTCTTGATTACTATAAATTTAAAAAAAAACAAAGTTAATATTAAGTCCTTAATTTGTTTTTCTTTTTTAATATTTTTGTTTTGGCTATTCTTCATCCTTTGCCTTTCCAAACAAATTTAAAAATAATCTCACTAATATCTAAAATAAAGCCTGTTGGAATTTTTAAAACAGATTTTATTATTTATTTATTTAGAGTGCATAAAAGTAGGGGGAGAGGCAGAAGGAGAGGGAGTGAATCTTAAGCAGACTCTGGACTGAGCACAGAGCCTGCTATGGGGCTTGATCTCAAACTCTGAAATCATGACCTAAGCCCAAACCAACAGTCGGTTGCTTAACCAACTGAGCCACCCAGGTGCCTCTAGCCTGCTAGTATTTTAAATCTCTTATCAGTTTAGGGACAATGGACATCAAAAATATTGAGTCTTCCAGTCAATGAAAATGATGCCTCTCACCATTTATTTAGGTTTTCTTTAATTTCTTTCAGCAGTGTTTTATAGTTTTCTGTGTAGAAGTGTAGAAGTTTTGTGTATCTTTCATTAATTAATCCTTAAATATCTGATTTTTTTGTGCTTTGTAAGTGGTGTTTTTATAAAAATTGCATTTTCTAAATTCTTATTGCTAGTATAGAGAAATTAATAAAAAAAATTTTTATTTTTTTATTCTGGTTTCATGTAGAAAGCTTTAGCAAGGGTTATAGTAGTCTTTTCAAATGAATTAGGAAGCATTCCCTCTCCCTCAATTTTCTGAATGTTTCTATAGCATTGATATTAATTCCTCTTTAAGTTTTGATAGCATCCACCAATAAATTCATCTGAGCCTGGAGTTCTCTTTGTGGAAAATTGTTTGATTATAAATTTAATATATTTTAAGAATATAGGGTTATTTAAATTTTTATTTCCTCTTGAATCAATTTTGATAATTCATATCTGTTAAGGAATTTATCCATTTTGAATGAGTTGTTAAATTAAATTTAGTAATAGTCCCATGTTATCACTTTAATGTTTATAAGGTCTGTAGTGATGTCCTCCTATAGCTCTGATATTTGTACTTTTTTTTCTTGATCACTCCTCTTAAGGGTTTATCAAATTTATCAATCTTTTTAAAGAACTATCTTCTAGTTATGTTGATTTTTCTCTATGTTTTTCCCTTTTTCTATTTCACTCCTTTCCAGTATTATTTTTCTGTTTTCTCTTTTACTTATTTTAGGTATAACTTCCTCTTATACTTCCAGTTTTTTAAGATGAAAGGAGAAGTCATTGTGTTCAAATCATTCCACTAATATTTTTATAATATTGACATTTAAAGCAGTGAGTTTGTTTTAAAGACCATGTTAGTTGTATTCTATAAATTTTAGTATGCTGTGTTTCATTATCATTGATTTCAAAATATTTTCTAATTTCCCTTATTAGTCTTCTCTGACCCATGTATTTTTAAAATGTATGTTGCTTAGTTTTCAGGTATTTTGGGATTATTTAGGTATTATTTCTATTAATTTCTAATTTAATGTCATTGTGGCCAAAGAACATACTCCATATAATTTTAGTCTTTTGACATTTATTTAGGCTTATTTTATGGCCCACCATTGGGTATGTCATTGTGAATGTTCCACGTGTACTAAAGAAGAATATTTATTCCACTTTTGATTGGTATAGTAGTCTATAACTGTCAAGTACATAAATTGGTTGACAGCATAGTTAAAATATTTGTGTCTACTTGTATTATTTGTCACTGAGAAAGAGGTGTTACAGCCTTCAACTATGTAGATTTGCCTGTAGTTCTCTTTAAGTTATGTGTCTGGGTGCTTTGTGTTTATATTGTTATTTATATACTTGATTATATTGCCTTTTTTTTATTAAATTTTATTTTTTATAAACATATAATATATTTTTATCCCCAGGGGTACAGGTCTGTGAATCGCCAGGTTTACACATTTCACAGCACTCACCATAGCACATACCCTCCCCAATGTCCATAACCCCACCCCCCTCTCCCAAACCCCTCCCCCCATCAACCCTCAGTTTGTTTTGTGAGATTAAGAGTCACTTATGGTTTGTCTCCCTCCCAATCCCATCTTGTTTCATTTACTCTTCTCCTACCCCCTTAACCCCCCATGTTGCATCTCCTCTCCCTCATATCAGGGAGATCATATGATAGTTGTCTTTCTCCGATTGACTTATTTTGCTAAGCATGATACCCTCTAGTTCCATCCAGTGCAAATGGCAAGATTTCATTTCTTTTGATGGCTGCATAGTATTCCGTTGTGTATATATACCACATCTTCTTTATCCATTCGTCTGTTGATGGACATCTAGGTTCTTTCCATAGTTTGGCTATTGTAGACATTGCTGCTATAAACATTCGGGTGCACGTGCCCCTTCAGATCACTACGTTTGTATCTTTAGGGTAAATACCCAGCAGTGCAATTGCTGGGTCATAGGGTAGTTCTAGTTTCAACATTTTGAGGAACCTCCATGCTGTTTTCCAGAGTGGTTGCACCAGCTTGCATTCCCACCAACAGTGTAGGAGGGTTCCCCTTTCTCCGCATCCTCGCCAGCATCTGTCATTTCCTGACTTGTTAATTTTAGCCATTCTGACTGGTGTGAGGTGATACCTCATTGTGGTTTTGATTTGTATTTCCCTGATGTCGAGTGATATGGAGCACTTTTTCATGTGTCTGTTGGCCATCTGGATGTCTTCTTTGCAGAAATGTCTGTTCATGTCTTCTGCCCATTTCTTGATTGGATTATTTGTTCTTTGGGTGTTGAGTTTGCTAAGTTCTTTATAGATTTTGGACACTAGCCCTTTATCCG